CTCAAGTGTTAATCGATTATTACAGAGGCAAAATCAACAAAACCCCAAAACGTACTGGTTTAATCGATTATTTGCCCTTTTAATTGATTAACAGGTGTGTTAATCGATTATCACAGTGAGCTGATACAAAAAATGGTTTTTCTCACTGTAATAATCGATTATCTGGTCTTTTAATCGATTAAACCCGAGGCTTTTTGATAAATATGAGTTTTTGAAGCTTCTAAAGAGTAGACTATGTACTGACTATCTTAGACTCTAATATTACAAACTCAAACTCATCAAAACAGAGTTATTACACAATAATACAAGTCTTCAACTCTCTAAGTTCTCTGTTCTTGAATCATCATCAAAATCAACAAGCTTCATGTCCATGTAAGTTCAACATCAAGTCCTTGTATGTTCAACAATCTCCCCCTTTTTGATGATGATCAAAGTTTTCTTTTAAAGCCTTGTAATAACTTGTTTTATCTGTCACACTAACAAAGACATTAAACATTCCAGATAATATTTAAATTCAATTATAAGAGGCAAGATGGCTTTAAATATTTATCCCCCTATTTTGATTATGATCAAAAAATTAAGAGCTCCCCCTCAAAATATGCATATCCTGGAAATAACTCCCCCTCAAACAAAGCAATAAAAGAACACAAATTTTATTTCATAAGTGAAAGTAATTTACAACACAAGAAATAAAAACAAAATTTAAAATTATTCACTATCACTATGAAAGTGAGCATCAAATTTATTCTCTAAGTGACACACTTTATCATCTACGTCAGAGATACGGCGAATGATTTCCTCATGTCGTACTCTAGAGAGAGTGAAGAATGCCTGCATCCTCTGGTTCATATCAAATAACATGTCTTCCATAGATTGGCGGGTTTCAGGATGAGCAGAAGACGTTCCAGCACTTTGAATCTGATCAGAGGGAAACTCAGCAGTAGGAGGCATATCTTCATCAGAATCTTCATCATTTACATTTATGTTTGGAACATCATCCTTGTGAACATAAGTATTATTGATACGCACCATTTGGAGTTGGGTTAGTGTGTTGTCCAGCATGCGGTTTAGGTTTGTCGTTCGTACTGTTTGTTCGCCTTCGACATTTACTCCTTTGTATTCAAGAATGCGAGAAATAAGGAGAGCATATGGAATTTTGAAGGTGGCATGACGTTTGGCCTTTAGCATAGTCATTGTGACGAGGCAGCCCCAATCTAATGGCTCATTATTCATTATTGCATGAATAATATGAAGATCTATTGAAGAGCATTGGGCATGATTCGTTGCCCGGGGACATAGGATCCAGACAAGTAAATGCAAAAAGCATGCGTTCCTCCTTCTTCAATGGTCCAGCTAGAAGGAGACGCCCAATGTCCATGGAAGGGTTACGAAGAAAGGAACGGTAAGCCATGATCCTGTCAAAGTCATCTAACTCACTAAAAATGTTAATAGCATCTTCTCTTATAGGAAACTGTGCAACATTTTCCCATATGTCGTCATCAAGAATAATTGTTACCCCCTTTACACGAGAGGTAGCTATTTGATCTCTAAATTTGAAGCGAGAGTAAAATACCCTAACTAAGTCAGGATAGTACGTACCTTGCATTTGGATAAAAGGGAGAACTCCTTGAATTTCAAGAAGATTAGGAAAAATGAATCCCCTATTGATGAATTGATCACCAATAAGGAATTTGGGAGTGATAATACCTCGTTCCTTCCAAAAAGTTAGAAATTCCTGTCGGCCCTCAGCATCAGAGATCCATCCTTCGATAGAATTAGGACGGGGATGAGATGCAGGTGCAGATCTTCTTCTGGTGGAAATTTTAGCACGAGAAGATGAGACCATTGTAGAATTTAGAGGAGTAACAAGAAAGTTTAGGAAGACAAATGATGCTAGAAGAAGGCAAGAATGATAGAATGAGGCACGAAAGCTTGGATTCAAGAGTGAGAGGTGTGGAGAAGTGAAATGGAGGTCCCTATTTATAACCAAACACCTTCAACGGTCATATGGGAGTGCATGGGGGCCAAGAGAGCCGTTGGCAACGGCTAGAAAACCAAACCAACCAGGTTTAATAAAGCTTGAATTAATCGATTAAACCAGTAACAGACCCCTTTAATCGATTAATTCAAGCAGTTAATCGATTAACAATGTATTTAATCGATTATCTGGTGAGTTAATCGATTAATCCAGTGAGAAATGTCATATTTTGGATGTCTTAGGTGCAAATAATCGATTATAACTTCAAATAATCAATTATTCCAGAGAGTTCATCAAATTTTTGAGGTTTAGACACATGATAATCTATTAACACCCTACATAATGGATTATAACATTACAACCATCCAAAAACAGTTTAATTAAGAAAAATTTAAGTTATTTCTAATATCCCTAAGTCTCGTCTAAGATCATAGAATCTATCTTTGGGAAGAGGCTTAGTAAAAATATCTGCTAATTGATGCTTTGTATCAACATACTCAATTTTACAGTTTCCTTTACTTATATGATCTCTCAAGAAATGATGTCTAATTTCTATATGTTTGGTCCTAGAGTGCATTACTGGATTCTTAGTAAGATTAATTGCACTTGTATTATCACACATCAAGGGAATATCATTTAGAAATATACTATAATCTTCTAGTTGTTGTTTCATCCATAAAATTTGAGCACAACAATTACCAGCTGCAATATATTCAGCTTCAGTGGTTGATAAAGCAACACATGCCTGTTTCTTAGAGTGCCAAGACACTAATGATGAACCTAACAGATGACATGTCCCACTAGTACTCTTTCTATCTATTTTGCATCCACCATAATCAGCATCAGAATAACCTATTAAACTAGTACAAGCTTCGGATGGATACCATAAACCAAAACCAAGTACTTTCTTTTAAATATTTTAAAATACGTTTCATCGCAGTTAGGTGAGATTCTTTTGGACATGCCCGAAATCTAGCACACACACGGACAGAATGCATAATATCGAGTCTACTTGTAGTTAAGTATAACAGAGAACCTATCATACCTCTATACATGGATTGATTAATTTCCAAACCTGATTCATCCTTGTCTAAATAGCATGAAGTTCACATGGGTGTGTTAGCTTCCTTTGAAGTGTCCATTCCAAACTTTTTGAGAATCTCTTTGCAGTATTTGGTTTGAGAGACAAAAATTCCATCTTTAAGTTGCTTGATTTGAAGTCCAAGGAAGAATGTTAATTCTCCCATCATAGACATTTCAAACTCTCCCTGCATTATCTTAGCAAATTCTACACACAAAGAATTATCAGTTGATCAAAAAATAATATCATCAACATATACTTGAACCAATAAGATATGTTCTTTTACTTTCTTTATGAAAAAAGTAGAATCAATTTTTCCTCTAGAAAAATCATTTGAAGTTAGAAAATTAATTAGCCTTTCATACCAAGACCTAGGAGCTTGTTTTAACCCATGTAATGCTTTCTTCAATTTAAAAATATGATTAGGATAACTAAAATCTTCAAATCCAGGGGGTTGTTCTACATATACTTCTTCTTTAATAAACCCATTCAAAAATGCACTCTTAACATCCATTTGATATAATTTAAATTTCATCAATGATGCATAAGCAAGAAGTAGGCGTATAGCCTCTAACCTGGCAACAGGAGCATAAGTTTCATCATAATTAATACCTTCCTCCTGACAGTAACCTTTGACAACAAGTCTGACTTTATTCTTTGTTATGTTTCCATCTTCATCAAGTTTATTTCTAAATACCCATTTAGTTCCAATTACTTGATGTGATTCTTCTCTTGGTATTAATTCCCATACTTGATTCCTTTCAAATTGGTTAAGTTCCTCTTGCATAGCTATGCACTATTGGTCATCTTTAAGCGCTTCCTCAACATTTTTGGGTTCTATCTATGACACAAAAGCTACAGACATGCAGAAATTAGTCATATTTCTAGTTCTTACCCCTTTTGAGATATCACCAATAATATTGGCCATTGAAAGTCCTCTTGGTGAATGCCATTCTTTTGCTAATTCAGGTGTTTGAGAAGGCTCATTTTCTTCCAAACACAATTCATCAAGAGTCTCTCTTATGTACTCATCATCACCTGCAAGTTCTTTATTTGACTCAAGAGGATTTCCCCCAAGGTCTACAATTTCATCAAAAGTAACATGTATAGATTCTTCAACATTTAAGGTTCTTCTATTAAACACTCTATAAGCTTTGCTAGTTAACGAATAACCTAAGAAAATGCCCTCATCGGCTTTTGAGTCAAATTTTCCTAAGTTGTCCTTTCCATTATTTAACACAAAGCACTTACATCCAAATATTTTCAAGTGAGCAACATTAGGCTTTCTACCATTTAACAATTCATAGGGAGTTGATTTTATAATTGGCCTAATGAGCATTCTATTCAAAACATAACATGCAGTACTTACCACATCAGCCCAAAAGTATTTAGGAACATTTGATTCATTTAACATTGTTCTAGCAAGTTCCTCTAGTGACCTATTTTTCCTTTCAACTACACCATTTTGTTGGGGAGTCCTAGGAGTAGAAAAATTATGTAATATTCCATTTTCCTCACAATAATTTTCAAACCTTTCATTTTGAAACTCACCACCATGGTCACTTCTTAATACCTTAATTCTTAAGTCTTTTTCATTTTGAATTTGCTTTGCAAACTTTCTAAAGACCTTAAAAGCTTCACTTTTCATTGTTAAGAAAAATGTCCAAGTATATCTAGAAAAGTCATCAACAATCACAAGACCATAATAATTTCCACCAAAGTTTTTTATCCTAGAAGGACCAAATAAGTCTAAATGTAATAATTCTAAGGGTTTTGATGTGGAAATAACATTCTTTGATTTAAATGATGATTTTACTTGTTTACCTTTTTGACATGCATCACATAATCTATCTTTTTCAAATTTTAACTTAGGCAAACCAACAACTAAGAAAATAATTGCAATAGCTAAATGATGGTGTATAATATCCGTCAGCCATAGACCTCCAGTTACCGGATCTAATCCTCCACGAAAAGTTAGAAATTCTCCATATTTTGACCAATTCAAGGTAAAAAATGGGGTTGCTCCCGCGGCAAAACTCGGATAAAGTTGAGCCAAAAGATCCCGATTTAGGATAAATTCATGAGGAAGTGGTATCTCCTTGGGATCTACCTGCAGCATTTAGAAATTGGTTAATTGGTAAAGATACATGTATTTGATGTCCTACCCAAGAAAGAGACCCCAACCGTAGGAGCCCTGTCAAATGGTGATTCAACATAGATTCTACATCTTGGAACCAAGCCAATTTTGGAGCAGACTTTGTGATAATGAAACCAACCAACAAAAAGCATTAAGGCTGCAAAGACCAATGCACCAATTGCAAGTACAATAGAGTTGTAATTCATTAGTTATTCTAGATGCTCTCCAAATTTGAAAAAACCGAGAGGTTATTTGTATTCCTCGAACCCTCCCCTACATCCCCATTCCATATTTCTTGACCCACTATTGGCCAAACCACCCGAGCACTAGGCCTAATGTGAGTAGGATCCAAAGGCTACAAACCTTCCTCCGTAACTTCCTTGACTCTCTCTTGAGAGCTTTCTGGTGAACACTTTGTGTAACCATTGAGTTCGATTTGAACTAGTTTCAAAGGTCGGATTTCCCTTGGGAAGAACTAGAATCGAATCTCTTTCCCTCTCTATGTGAGATGAGACCGATAGTTACTACGTAATGCTAAGAATGAGATATGAGATATAGAATACCAAAGAACTGAGACCGTAACTATCAAAAGCATGAAATAGCATTAAGAAAGTGTTCCGTGAGTGCATTCTAGTCAATCTGTTACTTAATAAAGAAGATCGATACTCGAACGCACGTTAGCGAAAGCCGGTGTGCAAGTAGGAGGGAGAATAGCTTGTGACCCTTACCCAAGGGTCACATCGCTAGTAATATCTTTGATTTTCTTTCTTTTCCCCTCCGGGCAAGTCCCGATCCGGCCTATCAGGTCTTTTTGTGGTTGGCAGCTGGAGAGAACCTATTGACGACGAAGAAGGAGAGCAAACAAGCACCGGACTAAACAAGCAACGGATTGCTACCTTTATTCGCTAAAGCGGTGGAGTTTGATTGCTTGAGATACCAATACAAATCAAACCGATACCGATGAGACCGAGAAATCTATTTTTACCGAAAGATACCGACACGGATCAAATTCGAATACCGATTCCGAACCGAAGGGACCGAGGAAATCAAGTACTACGGAACTTAAGACAGACGGGATCGCTCGCGCCCCTTACCCAAGTGTCGCAGCGCTTGTTCAGAAAGCAAATTCTTATCTTTCTTTCTTCTAGTCCCACTCCGGTCCATGAACTCACTGATGACCGTTTTCTTGCTGCGTATATTGATTCGAACTGAATGTATGATTCTTCACTCTCTGTAAGGGCTTACCTTTTCTTGCTCGTTAGCTGCTGGAGTTTTCTTGCTTGATATCAATTTGTTTAAATGATGCATATTTATATGAGCTGCTCTCTTATGCCATAACCAAGGGTTCTCTTCGTTAGCAACTAAGCATGTTATGCTAGTAACATGTATACAATCCAAATCAATCAAGTATATATTATTATGCCTAATGCCTTTCAATGCTACATTTTCGAAATCTATCAAATGTATGGTACAAAACTTACTTTCAAATATTACCTTAAATCCTTGTCACATAGTTGACTTATGCTAAGGAGATTATGTTTTAGCCCATCAACAAGAAGCACATCCTTAATCTCCAAAGTGTTTGCACCACCTATATTTCTAATTCCAAGAATCTTTCCTTTGTTGTTGTCCCCATAAGTTACATATCCTTGTTCTTTAGCTTTGAAACTCACAAATTTCGTTTTGTCATCGGTCATATGCTTTGAGCATCCGCTATCAAGATACCACATAGACTTCTTTGATTTGGAATTTTCCTACAAAACAAGAACATAGTAAACTTAGGTCCCCATAACTTTTGGGTCCTTGGGGTTAGAGATAAACAAATTATTTAACAATAGGAACCCAAATGTATTTTCCTTTAAGAACACCAAAATGTTTTATTTTACATCTATTTGAAGTGTGACCATGTTTCATACAATAAAAACATGCTTTAGATGTAGCTTTTGAATATGATGCATTTCTAACAATAGATGCTCTAGTTCCTTTTTCTACCCATACTCTTTTATTTTTAATCTTAGGCTCTTTCAAAGGAACATGATGGTTTACTCTATTTTGAGCAATAACAACTTTATCTTTATTATTATTACTTAATTCCTTTTCGGCTTTATCAAGAAAATGATTAAGTATATCAATGTCATATTCATACTCTTTACAAGATGCGCATGCTATATTCTTATCATCATTCTCATCTATGCATACAATTTTCGTTTCTAAGGTTTCCTTTTCCTCTAAACATGTAATTTTCGTTTTTAATGACTCAACCTCCTTTTTGAATTTACTTAAACTCTTTTTCACAGATTTATATTCACTTTTCAAGTCCTTAAAGGCACTAAACAATTCATTATATGCATTTTACAGTTCATCAAAATTATTTTCATCATCACTTGAAGATGAGTCGGAATCACTTACCTCAAAGTCGGAAGATATGTTGTCATTTTCCATTAAGCAAATATTGGCTTCAATTTCCGAGTCACTTGATTCCGAACTTGAATCACTATTGTTCCAAGCGATGTAGACTTTCTTCTTGAAGAACTTTTTGCCTTTGTTTTCTTCAATTTTCTTGTTTCACCACATGTCATGTTTCACCACAGCAATAACATTTGATATTTACAAAAGAATTTTCTCTTACCTTTCCTTTACCTTTGAATGGATGTCTTCCTTTGGCTTTCATGAATTTTGTAAACTTCTTTATCATAAGACTCAATTCTTCTTCTTCCTTTTTACTCTTACCTTTGGAAATTTCAGCTTTGAAGGCTAAGTTCCTCTTTTGATGTTGTCCTTCCTCATCATTTAGCCTTCCTAGTTCAAGCTCATGATCTCTCAAATTTCCAAAGAGCGCGCCGCCATAGACATTGTGGCAAGGTTTTGTGACTCCGAGATGGTCGTCACCTTAGGTTGTCATTTCCTATCCAAAGATTTCAAGATTTTAACATTTAATTCATCAACGTCAAAAATTTTACCTAATCCGGTGAGATGGTTGACAATGTGTGTGAAACGCTTTTGAACGTCAAATATCGTTTCGTCTTGTTGCATTCGGAACATCTCATATTCTTGGATTAGAGAATTTTTCCATGCTCTCTTAACATCGTCGGTACCTTCGTGGGTCACTCTTAGCATTTCCCACATCTCTTGAGCACTTTTACAAACGAAGATCCTGTAAAACTCGTCAAGGGTTAAAGAAGATGAAATAATATTTCTAGCCCTAACGTCAAATTGAGCTTTTCTATTTTCCTCCACCGTCCATCTAGAAAATGGTTTAGGAACGTCTACTCCGTTTTTAGAAATTTTTGGAATATAGGGACCGTTTAAAATATCGTCCCAAACGCCTCTATCAACAGACTCTAAAAAGATTTGCATTCTAACTTTCCAGAAAGGATAATTTTGACCCTCAAAAAGTGGTGGTCTGTTGATAGATGCACCTTCGACAAACGTTTGATTTTGTCCGGCATTTTTCGAAAAATTTGAATGATTATCAAAGCAAGCTCTGATACCACTTGTTGGAATCGCGCAGCGGAATGTTTGCGTGAACGGACAAAAACCAAGAGGGGGGGTGAATTGGTTTCTTAACAAAAATTAGGTTTTAAAAATTTTCCCCAAATTTTACCGATTAAAAAGTTGTGTAAACGTAAATAGGATAAGAATAGAGTCTTACACAGAAGATTTATACTAGTTCGGATCAAAAGACCCTACGTCCAATTGCTAATCACTCAAACAGGGGATTAACGCTGTCACTATAATCAAAGTTATTACAAACAGATAACAATGGAAAAGATAGAGTAATGAAAATACCTCTCTTGAGTCACACAAGAGATGAAGAACAATTTTCCCTAGAGACGACACAACACACACTCCATTAAGAACTCCATTTAGTGATTTTTATCGCTTCTAGCTCACACAAGGTTCCAAAAGCCCCTTTTTCCTCCAACAAACAATTTTCTGGCAATCACAGCTCTCAACTTTTGTTTGAAAAAGGTTGTTCATTTTTCTGAGAGCCTTAGAGAACCTTAAGTAGATGAATTAGGGTTTGAGAATTGGGGATTTTCGAAAATAGGTTTAATTTGAAGTTCAAAATGCATATCTGACTGAAATAATCGATTATCTCAAGTGTTAATCAATTATTACAGAGCCAAAATCAACAGAACTCCAAAACGTACTAGTTTAATCGATTATTTGCCCTGTTAATCGATTAATAGGCCTGTTAATCGATTAACAGGTGTGTTAATCGATTATCACAGTGAGCTGATACAGAAAATGTTTTTTCTCACTGTAATAATCAATTATCTGGTCTTTTAATCGATTAAACCCGAGACTTTTTGATAAATATGAGTTTTTGAATCTTCTAAAGAGTAGACTATGTACCGGCTATCTTAGACTCTAATATTACATACTCAAACTCATCAAAACAGAGTTATTACACAATAATACAAGTCTTCAACTCTCTAAGTTCTCTGTTTTTGAATCATCATCAAAATCAACAAGCTTCATGTCCATGTAAGTTCAACATCAAGTCCTTGTATGTTCAACAGTATTTTGGTAAAAATGAATGGGTAGATATTTGTCTCTTGAAAATATTATAAGAACTTAAAAGAGGACGATACGTTTTAGAGATTTTTACATCTTTCGAGACATAGAAATATTTTATAAGGTTTTCATATTAGAAAAAAAAGTTTTTTGAAATATTTTTGAAAAGAAAAATAAAAATGTTTGGTTAATATAATTCAAATATTCTTTTTAGTTTTTAATAATATAAATTAGTTCATTAAATTTTTAAACATTGTTCTTAAAAATTAATTAATTTTATACTTATATTATCACATTTATGATTGTAAATTTCTCAAGTTAAATGAATTATGTGTATAAATGATAAAAAGAACTTAAATTCACATACCTAAATATCCGCGTGCTGTCGCAGTGCGGCCACGGCTTCCACGTGCCCTGCATTGACACCTGGCTAGGATCCCACTCCTCCTGCCCTTCCTGCCGCCAGGTCCTCGCCGTCGCCAGGTGTCAGACGTGCGGCCGCTTTCCGGCACCACCCGCCGGAGCCTCCAGAACGTCAGCAACCGAACCCGAATTGAAGTCCAGATAAGACAACAATGCCGCTTCTATCAGTAATTGCAGGAATAACAACAATGATGGCGGTGGAAGTGGAAATCACGTGAATCATCATCACGGCCACCATGTGAACAATGGGTTCTTGCCTTGAACATGATGGTGGTAATTTTTGTATTTATTAGTTTTTTTCTTTTTACTTTTGTACGTTTTAATTCGTTCAAGATAATTGATAAAAGAGATCTAAATTTGGGCACTTTTCCTTTTCTTCTTGTATATCTTGCAGATGTTTTGCGCGCATAGTATAAAATGCAGTAATTAACCAAATGTGAAAAAGTTGAAAGTATGAAAGTGAAGCCTGTTTTCTATAATAGCATTACATCACTCTTCGGTATAAAGAAAAAAAAAAACAAGAATTTTCTTAACTAACTCTTTTTATCATTAGGTTTAGTCATATCTTAAAGGGAGATTCTTTCCAATTCTATTAAATAATGACACAGAATATTTTAATATTTGAAATAAAGTATGTTATCTAATTGATATATCATAGAAATATTTGTAATTGTTATTTGTCTTTATTTCATTCAAAAATTTAGATGTAAATTGTAATAACATTTGTATTCGAGTTGTAGTATTTTGATGAATTTCATATTCAAAAAATCTTATTTTTATCTCGTAATATTTTCAATTTGTTTTACTGGTACTATTAATCCATTTTCTTTCATTATTTTAATAAAGGTATCTAAATGATTAATATACTCGAGTAATCTTTTTGAAAAGATTAATACATCACCTAAGTAAATTATTGAATATTTCATATATGGATAAAATATATAATTCATTATATTATGTAACTCACATAGAACATTTTTTAATCTTTGCGGCATTACATTTCACTTATAATGCTTAAAGGGTACTACAAAAACAATTTTGTATTTGTCTTCTTTTTTTACTGATATTTGATAATATCCCGATTTTAGATCGAATTTTGAAAATACTAAAGCATCATGTATTCTTTTAATTAAATCATTGTTGTTAGGTAATGGATATCTAATCCATTTCAATACTTTATTTAGAGGTTTATAATTAATTACCAATCTTAAAGCCCCTCTTTCTACTTCAGAGACTTTCATAACATAAAACCCTATAAAACTTCAGGGTGATTTTGATGGTCTAATAAGACTTTTATCTAGATATTCTTACATTTCTTTCTTACAATAAAACCCTTTGTACATAAAATTTTGTATAACTTCATTTATCCTTACAAACTCATCTGAATTCATCCTTCACCTCTATTGCCCCCCACAAAAAAATCAAATAAGTTCAAATCTTGAGAGCACTAGGATCTAATACTAGTATTGTCGGGATCGGAAAATTAATAATTAAAAGGAAAGGAATGAACATTATGTTATAAATAATTTAAAACATCAAAGTTACAGTGCAACTGGTAAAGGATGAAGATAAAATCCAGTAATCAAAACTCTTAAAATAATAGTCAAAATAAGAATTGAAGAAACTTACAAAAGGCATTTGAAGAACAAGAGGCGAGTTTTTTCTTTACATGAGCCAAAACTTACTTCTTCTTTTTTTGTAGTGAATGTTTACATTTTTATAGATTCATTCGAAAGTTCTACACTATACAAGTTTACTATAATACCCCTATACAAATTTGCTACTATATCCTTCTTTTGTCGAGTCTTCCTTCGCTTTATGTCTTGTCACTTTTTCTTTTTTTGTATTTTTTTGTCGAATCTTATCTCGAATCTTTTCTTTTTATCTTGTCTTCTGCCTTTTGTCTTGTCATCTTTTCTTCTTTTGACCTATCTTTTATCTTTTTGTCTCATTTTGTCACGTAGAAGATTCTTCTAATTGAATATATCGAATGTATTAGGATCGTCTTCTTTTGAATTAGCTCCCGAGTTGGTTGGTGATGATGTCTTGATAAGCTTTTCCATTTGCTCTATACTTGTTGCCACGACTAATTCCTCCGTCGGCCTTTGTTTTTTTACCATAAATAACGATTCTTGAGTTATTGGTAATGATGTTGTATCTTGTCTTTTTTCATAACTTTGTTGTCACTCATCAATTCTCTTCTTTGTGATAATATTTGTGTTGAACTTTTTCCACCACTTAATTTTATATTTTCTAGACAAAACCTTAAGATCTACGTTTTCATACATTTGTTCAATAATAAGATCCCCAGCTAGGTGATAGACTGTGTTACAGTGAATGATATTAACTGATATCTAGAGACGGATAAGGTCCACTACAAGAAAAACACCAAATACTGACCGAAAATTTGGTCACTAAATGACCAAAATTGGCCACTAACTAAAATAGTGATTGAAATAGTGACCAACTGGAATCGGTCACTATTTCCTTGGTCACTGATTTTAGTGACCGATTTAGTGACTGATTCATTGACCGAATCAGTGACTGAATAAGTGATCGTAACCAATTCAGTGACCGATTTAGTGACCAATTTAGTGACCAAATCAGTTACCAAATCAATCACCGAATCAGTGACCGATTTAGTGACCGATTTAGTGACCGATTCAGTGACCGAATCAGTGATCGATTCAGTAACCGAATCAGTGACCGAATCAATGACCGATTTTGTGACCAATTTTATGACCGAATACATATTACCAAATCAGTCACTATATCGGTCACTAATTTGATTTTGTTTTTTATATTATTTTTAAAATAACGATAAACCTGATTAAGAAATATGAAATACATTATATATTGTCTTAAATATATGAAAATTTCACTAGCTAAGATAACCATCAAAATAATATCACAAATTTTATTCTAAATAAATTCATCATTGATGAATTAAATACTTTCTTACATATTGAAAATTCAATCTAAAAGTAAGTAGAATAAACTAAAATAAGAGTCATAATTATTGAAATGTCAGAAACTAACAAAACAAATACAATATACAAAATAGAATCAGTTCACAATTTAGGAGGTTGAACATCCATCTTCTCCATCAAGAGGAGCAACATTTTATCATTTTTTCTGAATTTGTCTCTCATTAGTTAACATTCTTTCACGGAGATCATCCCTTTCAGTCTCAACTTCCTGTAACTTGTGTTTTAATTGTTCAATCTCCTCTCTCATAAGCTGGACAAATGATAATGATGAAGTAGAGTCGTGACAAAGATTTCTCCCAATTGCTTTGCTTGACTCAGATCCAAGCCCATATACTTTGCCTTTGTTTATTCCAGCAACTTTACACCAAACCTGTAATTCATCAGGAGGAGAGCCTCCTGCAATAGATCCTGATTGGGAGGTTTCTTCCCATGCACGACTAAACTCTGCCTATAAACATTAAAATAGAATAATAGTGAATTGGATAAAAACATAAAAAAGGATATAATTGTTTAAGAAATTAACATAAGAAGAAAAATAAGGAAGTTACATCCACATGTGCTGATCTTTGATCCACCCATGTGTTATCCTTTCGTTTGTGTGTTTTGTGAAACAACTCTGATGGGGTAGGAGGTTTTCCATTCAACTTTATCTAAAATATTGTTAAAAACACAAACTTAGAAGTGCAATATCCACCATAAAAGAAAAGAAGTTTGTCAAGTCATGACAATAGGTAATGTAATAAATATTTTTCTCTTCCATCATAAACAACACCATGCAATCAAATTTGAACTAACTAATGTACATTCTTTCTACACCTAAATGTAGTCCAGGGTTCCATAATTCACATATACATTATAGGTTCAAAAGTACAACAAATAGGATCAATACATGCATAAAGGAGTGTAAAGCAAACTTTACCAAATGTTCTCTATGTTGAGAAGTACTAATTGAGCCATCATTTTAGAGTGAAATTCCAAGTCCATCATAATCAGAAGCTCGATTTGCTTTTGCAATCAAACTTTTTACTTTGAATTGTTTTGATCGCCAATGTTGGCATAAGATATCTCATACATCTTCTGCAAGCCAATTTGGCTTCTTCATTATCATGCGTGCCTTGTTTAGTGAACTTTTCAATATGTTGGCACCTCGCATTTCAAAGTTCCTTCTAGCCAACCTATGATCAGGTGGGAAAATAGTATATTTTCTCTGTACCCAAACAAAACAAGTAAATGTTATAGGACATTCAATATTTGAAACTTATTTTAAAGTTAAGAACTAATATAAATACATACCATGAACTCACTAAACCACATGTCTCGAATATCTTGAGGTACCTTTTTCCATGATGGTCATGCATCAGTGTAATGACTTTTGAAAATATCATCAATGGCAGTAGCTACAAAGTATGAAGGCAAAAATCTACAACAAAAATAAAGTAAAAAAGTACAAGTTGTACATAGAATGTGAACAAAATATAACATTGTTAAAATTTAAGTGATTTACCCATATCCATCAAGTGTTAAAATGGGTCTCTCACAAGTGCTCTGAACATCTGATACAGTGTGATCATCATGAGAAATAAATGTGCCTTGAGTTTGAGGGTTAGATGCTTGAAGACTTTATGGGGAAGGTGTCTCATGTGGTAATTGTGGTCCTAATGGTGGAGTAGTTAATGGAAGAGATTTAGAACTTCCTCCAAGTGCTGGAGTACGACCAATGTGTGGTCCAACAGAAGGGACTTCAGTAGACTTCACTAGTACAAAATAGGCTTTTAACATCGGTTCCCAGGGGCTTTTAACATCGGTTCTAGAACCGATGTAGATACGACCGATGTAGAAAGTCTGACTTTCCACATCGGTTGTAAGGAACCGATGTAGAAAGTCTAATATTTTTATTTATTTTATTTATCTCCTCTCTAATTACCCTATCTATCTCCTCTACCATCCTCTCCCTTTTATATTATATATTTATTATTTATATTTTTTAGGAATTTGAGTTATTATCGGATTAAGAGAATTGTCATCGGCAAGATTCGAACCCAGTACCTTAGAGTCGGAGGCTGATACTCCAACCACTAAGCTACCAGGATTTTACGATAATAACTTATACATAAATTATATTTATATACAAATAAAAATGTATATCCATGTAAATATATAAATATAAAATATATAAATACAAATACAAATATATTTATATTATTATATGTTGAATGTGAGGACGTGCTCGAGGATGAAAGTGTGTGTC